ATAAAGCATTTGCAGACACCTTGGTACTGGGAACCTGACATCCATCCTAGATGCACTTCAGGGATCAGATCCTTTTCTAGTAAATGCGAAAGAGCAACAGGCAGCAAGAACTCTGCTACCTGCCTTCATTACCTTTATGGCTAGAGCGCTTTGGGGGTCAACACAAACATCAAAACACGACCATTAATCTAAGTTTATTTTAACAATGTTAATACGTGTAGAGTCAATTGCTTAATGTCAGAGTTATTACAAAGTATATTTTTCTTTTATTAGAATATGTGAAGAAGTATATTTGTCCTAGTTATCTCCTTGTTTGTAAGATGTCAAACTAGACATAGTCATTGAGATCTATTTTCATGCTCATTACTTTTTCAAGGACATACAGTGATTACAGTAACAAATTTTACTCTATGCATTACATTTCCCAGGCTCTATTTAAGGTAAATAAAAAGACACTTCTGAATTTCCTGAAAACAATAAACAAAAGAGGTAGTTTACTTAACAAAACAGCAAAATAAATTGTGATTTTTTTTTTTTAAACACAAACTAAACAAAAACAACAAAACAAACCCACACTCCCAAGACCAGAAAGAAGAATTCCCAAAAAAGACTGGAGGAGAGAGAGAAAGTAGTAAGTTACGAGTGGCAAATGTGCTGTGAAGCTAAACTTGTACATAAGGTTATGGAATCCCAGAAATTTAAGAAATAATCTCTTTTGAAAGAATTGTTGATATAAATGACATAATTTCTGAATGTCCCACTTGATAACTCAAATTTGCCTCACAATAATCCCTGTCTTTAATGTCTCCATAACTATTGTGCTGTGCACATTTCTGCTCTCAGTCTGGTACCTGCAGGACTTCTGAGCTGCCCAGTCCTGAGCACTGATCAGTTAGAAGATAGACGATGTGTGGTGCTTCCAATCTCCAAAAAACTCCTTGCCTTAGTTGGTAAGCTTCTGAAAGTCTCCAAGGTATTTCAAATAGAAGATCTGTAGTTTGGTTTTTGGATCTTTGGGAGGAAAACTTCCATTTTATCCAATTCTTTTGAATTTTCCACTATGAACTAACTTTTTATAAACCATCATTTACAACAGAAAAGTCTCCCTAGGAAAACAAAAGGTTAAATCCTTAATTACAAAATGGGAATACAGTCTACAGAGAAAAAACTAAAAAGAATGTGAAAAGTTAAATTATACTAATCACTTTTCTTTTTTTGTTTCAGTTGTCACTTCATATTTCTCTTAGATATGCCCTAACCATAGATGCTCCTATTTTCAAAGAATGAGGCTTTCATTAGCCACAGGACCAAGAAGCCAGTTTGGTCTGTGTCGGCAAAATTCTGTCTTTTCAGAGATGACCTCTGCAGTAGATTTAGACTGCTGACATTAAATTTCCCCCCACTTACTTCGGGGATTTCTCTAGGGCTGTAACATTTGTGCCCATCTGTACGAGATGGAATCTCACCCTTTTCACATCTATTAATATAATTAATTCATTTATTAATTCATTCATTCTAGCTATATTAGGTAAAAGAGATATAATCTTAGTAAAACATCTACTGACTTTGGAAACAAAGACTTGCACATTCTCCTTAGGATCTAAAGTACAAATTGCAAAGAAAGCAAATAGGACCAACCCCCATTCTTGTGAACATTTATATCTAAAAGTCCCTAACTGGCACATCATAACAGCCCTACTAAACTTAGAGGAAAAAATAATACTTTCATATCGTCATACTCTTCTATAATGTGTTTATGATATGCATTTATTCTACATTAATACTACTCGATAAACACCAGCTTGCTGTTAGTTCACCAGAAAGTCCACACATGCTATACATGTACATAGAAAATCTACTGTGCAGTAGAAACTTGTTCTTGCTGCCCTTTGCCTTTCTCTTGTCATTGCCAGTTTTGGAGGTTTGTGCTGCCACCATGCTCCATCTGTGTCCCACACAATTCCTATTCTTCAGCAATACAACAGATCCTGGGGAAGGTCTCACCACCTCCTTCCCAAGGCCTTGCCCATTTCCAAAACTCCTGCACATCAAACAGCTATAGCCACTGATTTTGATAGTATGTTCAATACAGTTCAACTTCCAGAGAATCCGGTTCTAGAGAACATATTTATTCAAGAAAGCTGAATATGTGCATCATTTTGTACAATATCCTTCTTGAATCACAGTATCAAACGAATGGACTAGGCAAAACAGAGCTGTGAAGAGAGTGAATGTCTCCAGGTCTCTAGCCATTGGACCAGACATATATAATCTTTGAAGAGAATTTACCCATTTATCATCCTTGCACACATGGGCTGATCAACCTGGGTACTGCAAAGATGTGATTTACAATGCACTTTCTTGAGGCTGCTTTTGAAGGCTTTCTTGAGGCTGCTTTTGAAGAACTTCATGTTCCAATGAAGTTGATCTTAAAATACTCCACGGATTACAGCTGATGGGAAATGTGGAATAGTACTACTGTGAAGTTATAGAAAAAAAAATCCTAATTTTTCCAAGGGAAAAACATAAAAAAACCTCACTGCCTTAAAACATAAAGAAAAGCCAATGGAAATGATCTGTCTTCCACACACACTTTTATCATTTTCCACATTATAACTATAGATTCAATCACACAGAAAATATTTTGAGTTATTTTTAGATAGAAAGCAGAAATTAATTGCCATTATTATTATTATTATTATTATTATTATTATTATTATTATTATTATTATTATTATTATTTCATGTGGATATAAAGTAAAATCATCAGTATAAGGAAGAATATAACAGTATCAAATGAAAATGATAGATATGTTCATCAACATTAGGCTTTCAGCAAAAAAAGTCTTCCACACATTCATGGTAAATATACAGAATAATTCAGAGAAACAGTATCTGTGATGAAGGAATGCTGTAATACTGTAGTGTCATTAAATATGAGTGGCAGGCATTACTCATTCTCTGGATTTACTTCAACAAGAACTGAAACACATAAAGAAGAAATGTTACAAAAATCAATATGCTCTCCAGCACTACCGATAAGCTCCTAAGCTGCAGAAGACTGCAACATACGGATTCTTCCACTGTGAATTTCTGTTGTACACTTTACTTCCTCTATAAAGCCCTTTTATTTTATTTTATTTTATTTTATGTTATTTTATTTTATTTTATTTTATTTTATTTGTAAAGTACCTGTGTATTGTAGAAGGGATTTACAACAGAATCTGATAATGTGTGAAAACACAATTCAGTTATTTTATCATGCTGGGAAGACTAGAAGAAGAAAAGGATGTGAGAGAGCATAGAACCTGAATTTAATAAACTCAGTAGGGGTGATGTACTTTTGAGGTTAAGACACTAGTGTTATTAATCTGTCAGGAAAGACAGCTCTAGAAAAAATACCATTTAATGCATGTCCGTTCTTCTCCTGAATGTTGCCAAATATGAGTACTAGTGGGGGAGCTCTAACCCATTTAATTTTGTATGAGCTTTGGAACTCAACAGACCAGAAAAGCAAGTGACAAATCATAAGGATCTACATACGAGCCATGAAAAGATCAGCTACAAAAACTTTCTTGTACCTGAGACATCTTCCACTTTACCTGCTAAAATAATTGAAAGCAGGATTGAACTGGGTTGTGCCAGAATGAGTTGCTACAAGTATGGCCAGATGAGGATTGCAGTGGGCAAAAAGCAAATCATAAAACCAACATGCAATTCATAAATATCTTATACCAACTAGTGACTTCCATGTTTATGCAAGGGAAAAAAAATAGTACTGTGTAAACTGAGAAGCTTAAAAAAAAAGCAAAACACACATACACAAAAACAAACAAACAAATAACACACCACAAAACATACCTTCACAGTTTTCAGAAAGGCATTGTTATTTTTGACTCGTTAATGTCTCTATTGTCTCTATGGACAGTGTTTTTATTGCTTTGCATCTGTTATTGAGTAAGATAATAACACAGAACTAAAAGCTATTCTGTTTGTCTGAGAATGAACTCCTCAGAAATGAAAAAAACAAATAGCACTTATGTTTTGCAAGAAAAAAATATAAAGACTGAAATATTAAGTATAGCTATTCCAAAGTGTATTTTGTTGAAAAACGTGATGTAGATTTCTACTAATAAGTAACCTCCAAATCTGACACTTTTTTAAAATCAGCAATAATTTAATAATTATATACATTAGCACTTATTATTTTTATATAAAGACAAAATCAATTCAGCCACTGCATTTTTATAAAAATATTAAAATATAAAGAGCAGTATTCCCACAAATCTTTGTAGATAGAGATATTTTGCACCAGTCAGTTCCAGTGTAGGGTCTGAAGTTACTCATGGGCAACTTCTGCTGTCTCTACACTACTGAGAGCAGCTTTAAATAAACAGCTGGATTTTATTTGGATTTACACAGTATATGGAACAAGGACAATCTGGAAGTTAAAGTTTTTAAGCAAGCAATCATAGGTTAAATGAAATCCTAAAGCAGATTAATTTCATCCATGTTATACTTTTCTGGAAGATAAACTAACTATATAGGAAAATACTTTCAATATCCAACACAGAATCTCTCCAGTTCTTTCCCCCTCCATTTCTGGTTATCAGCCTGCATAAAGACAATACAAAATCTCACAGATGGAGGTGTTTACCCAAATTATTAAGAAATTTTCAACATTTTTTTTTGAATACTACTTTTTTTTTTTTTTTTTTTTTTTTTTTTTTTTTTCCAGTTAACCAGCAAGAACCAACAAGACTTCCCAAGACTGTTTTTCAGAGAGAGACTTCCTCAAGAAACTCTTCAAAAGTCAGACATATTCCAGCCTTAGGGCAGGAGAAAGAGCTGGTTTCCACATGCTAACAGGGTCACAAATACAACCATGAGATTCTTTTCTCCTGGCAATGTTTGAGTACACTGGAGTGCCCATCTTCTTTTTTGACTTATTCCCTCATTCAATAACAAATTGAATAAAAAGTAGATGGAAAAAAATCTACCTCAATCTGGGTGGTGTTGTCATGTCCCTCTTCAAGAAGTAGATCTGTGAAACCCCCTGGCTCAGAGGAATCCTGACCCATGCTGGCTCTGTTAGTGTCGACTGATTTGAGAGATTCCGAGTGCCTTCTCCACCTGTGGCTGCTTACTTGCACATTTTCCTCCACTCGAGGGAAGCTCTGAACAACTTCATAAAACACACCTATTTGAAAAATAAAACAAAACAACAGAAAACCAGGATTACAAATCGGCTTGAACTGTGCTTTACTGACCATAATCTAAAACCTAATAATAGCAATCTTTTTATAGATGTTTTGAACTACTCTATAGAATAGGCAGTTATAGCTATGATAAAAACAAAAAAAAAAAAACAACAAAAAAGTTTAAAAAAAAAGAGATAGCAAGTTATACTTCAACAAAACACAATTATTTGGACTAAGTTTTGTAGAGTCCTCTAAACTTCCAAAATGTTTGATTTTCCCACTTATTTTATGCCTGGGAAAAGTTTTTCATAATACATTTGAAACATCAACACTTGTCTACCTATACGTATCACTTTTCTTAATAAAACAAATCAAAGAATAAAAGAATTAATCATCTAACAAAAACCGATGCCCAAAGTAGAGATATATACTTAGCTTCTGCTACTGATTTTATGTGGAAATAGCTTTGAAGCCATGGTAATAGGCAGCCAAATAAACTTTCTGAGAGGCCTGAAATTCCCAGAAACAACTGTTCCAGGTTAAAAATAAAGCTGTCCCATTATGTGATATTGATAAATGTGAACAATGTATGAAGTCTGCAGACACTTCCTATGCTTGCTGCAGTGTGAGAAGACCTGAGTGATGTGTTTTATGTATTACTTTTGCATTTTATTCACACTCATTCACAATTTTTTCATTTTAATATAACTATGACCAAGACAAAATCCTAAATTCTTAAGCAGTTTCCAGTTTACCAAAACTAAACGCCAATCAAAGTATTCTTGAAAGCAGCCCTGAGGAAAAGGACCTGTTAGATGAGAAGTTCATCGTGAGCCGTCAACATGTGCTTTCAGCCAAGAAAGCCAGCTGGATCCTGGGCTGCATCAAAAACAGAATGGCCAGCACGGTGAGGGGATTCTCCCCCTCTACTCTGCTGTTGTGAGACCACACCTAGAGTCTTGCATTCAACTTTGTGAACCCCAACACTAGAAGGACATGAATGTATTAAATGATTGAAGAGGAGGGCCATGATCACCTGATCAGAGGGCTGGAGCACCTCCTCTATGAAGACAAGATGAAGGAGTTGGGGTTGATCAGCCTGGAGAAGAGAAGGCTCCAGGGAGACCTTATAGCAGCCTTCTAGTACCTAAAGGGGGCCTACTGGAAAGATAAGGAAGGACTCATTGTCAGGGATTTTAGTGATAGGACAAGGAGTAATGTCTTTAAACTAAAAGAGATTTAGTTTAGGTTTCAGGAATAAATTCTTTACTAAGGTGGTGAGGCACTGCAACAGGCTGCCTTGAGAAGCTGTGGATGCCCCATCCCTGGAGGTATTCAAGGCCAGGTTGGATGGAGCTTTGAGCAGCCTGATCTAGTGAAAAGTGTCCCTGCCCATGGCAGGGGGGTTGGAACTGGGTGATTTTTAAGGTCCCTTCCAACCCAAACCATTCTATGAGTCTATGATTCTATGATCAATTTTTGTTAATATATTTTTTAATGTATTTCAATTATCTTTATCAACACAGAGTACAGTAAGGCTCAAGTAATCTTGCATATTTTTCATTAAAAATCAGTTGTACTTTTCATACGGTCTTGTATGCTTTGAGCCAAAAAGGAGAAGAGGGATGCTCTCTGGTTTGCATATTGCAGGAGGAATGGAAAATTGTTCAAAGAGAAGAATGGTGAGGTTCCAAAGAAATTGTCAAGAGAAGTGGCAAATCAAAAGAATAAAATAAAATAAAATAAAAAAGTGAAAAGATAGAATGGAAAATAATTTATTTGTAAAAATACTCCATTGCTTCTGTTTGACAGAATCTTATAAACAAAAGGCACTACTTCCAAGGTCTTTACTAAGCATCAGATACGCTGTGTAACTGCAGAAGAGATGGAAAAATAGAAAATTACCTACCAAAGCTTCAAATAAGAAGTAAGATTTTCCTGCATCATAGCTGGTATAGGGGTCATCGATACAGGTGAATCTGCTAGGTGTTGTTCACAGAGAAGAAAGAGTTACAGTATAGAGGCAATCTCTATTAAAATTTAGGCTCTGTATGACTCTTTTTTTTTTTTTTTTTTTTTCTATTAGATTGTTAAGAAATCTGGTAAACTTATTTTCCAAGGTATTTGACTATCCTCAGCCATACAGTGCTATGCGCTGAAGGCACTTTGTGCCTTAATGAAACCAGAATTTAACAGAGATGCAAAATAAGCAATCTCAAGCCGTAACTTTCCCTTAGACTCCAAGTATTCGGGCTTCTTTTCTTTTAATCAATGGCTTTTTTAAACATGTTTCTTCACATTTCTTAAAAGGCTTAGAAGATTTCTTTTCAACAAATTGCCATCCTTATGCCTGTATCATCATGTAATCAGCTGCGAGATGCAGAGGGACAACTCAGCAGATGAACTGAATCATGCCCCTGTGGTCCTTATCAACATCTATTCAAAGCTGCCCTTCCTGCTTCAATCTGGAGGGACTTGCCATGGTGTTATGGGGGCAAGGATGTCCAAAAGCTGACAAACTTGGAAATTTTACAGATAGGATTGCAGGTACATGCTTTCTGTTTCTGATGCAGAACACCCAAGGCTTACTCCATGGAAGCAACATTTCCCCTCACAGAATGGCTGAGGCTGGAAAGAAACTAAAGATCATCTAGTCCAACCCCCCTGTGAAGCAGGATCACCTAGAGCACCTGGTGCAGGATGGCATCCAGGCAGATTTTGGATATCTCTGGAGCAGGAAACTCCACAACCTCTCTGAGGAGCCTATTCCAGTGCTCTGTCACCCTCACAGTAAAGAAGAGTTCTCTCATATTCTGCCAGAACCTCCTGTGCTTCAGTTTGTGCCCATTGCCTTTCATCCTGTCACTGGGCATAATTGAAAAGAGATTGGCTCCATGCTCTCGACACCCTTCCCTCAGGTATTTATACACATTAATAAGGTCTCCCTTCAGTTTTCTCTTTTCTAGACTAAACAGGCCCAGTTCTCAGCCTGGCCTCGTATGACAGGTGCTCCAGTCCTCTAATCATCTTCACAGCCCTCGTCTGTACTTGCCCCAGTCGCTCCATGTCCCTCTTGTACTGTGGAGCCCAGAACTGGACATAAAACTCCAGGTGTGGCCTTGCCAGGGCTGCATAGAGGGGGAGAAACACCTCCCTTGACCTGCTGGCAACACTCTTCCAAAAGCACCCCATGTTACCGTTGGCCTTCTTGGCCACAAGGGCACATTGCTGACTGATGGTCAGCCTGCTGCCAGGACTCCCAGGTCTTTCTCTGCAGAGCTGCTCTCCAGCAGGTCAGCCCCCACCCTGTAGTGGTGCTTGGGGTTATTCCTCCTTAGGTGCAGGACCCTGCACTTGCCCTTGCTGAGCTTCATGAGGTTCCTCTCAGTCCAACCCTCCAGCCTGCTGAGGTCCCTCTGAATGGCAGCACAGCTCTGTGGGGTATCAGCCACGCCTCTGAGCTTTGTGTGATCAACAAATTGGCTGAGGGTGCACTCCGTTCCATAATCCAGGTTTCTAATGAACAGCACTGCACCCAGTGCTGACCCCTGGGGGACACCACTTGCTAGCAGCCTCCAACTACACTGCACCACTAAGCTCAACCCTGGGATCTCTGCCATCCAGCCAATTATCAATCCACCTCATTGTCCCCTCATCTAGGCCACACTTCCTGAGTTTTCCTATGAAGATGTTATGGGAGACAGTGTCCAAAGCCTTGGATGTTATGGATGAGGATTTTATGGGAGAGACAGTGTCAAAAGCCTTGCTGAAGTCAAGGTAGATCAAATCCACTGCTCTCCCCTCATCTACCCAGCTAGTCATCACATCTTAGAAGGCTATCAGATTGGTTAAGCATGATTTCCCTTTGATGAATCCATGCTGACTACTCCTGATCACCTTCTTACCCTCCACATGCTTGGAGATGACCTCCAGGATGAGCTGTTCCATCACCTTTCCAGGGATGGAGGTGAGGCTGACTGGCCTGCAGTTGCCTTTTTGCCCTTCTTGAAGGCTGACATGACACTGTCTTTCTTCCAGCTGTACTAAGTATTTATAGTACATTTTTCCCTCCTGCCATACTACAAAATCTCATCATGTGCTGCAATGACCAGTGTGCATTAGATACCTACAAAGGTATCTTGGGCTACAATGCATCTATATGTCTGCAGAACTGTGTTCCCTTCTGAAGCACCTTTTCTGACCAACCCTGATGGCTCTTAACCCACATTCAGAGGGGCAAACAGTATATTAACCCTCATTTTGCATTCCCACTGCAGGACTACTCTTTTTATGGTCAACAACCAACATATTGAGAGAATTATCTAAATTAGAGGACAGGAAATGATAAACTTAGGGGAGAGCCTATTCACCTCCGCATGAGTCTCATCCATAAAGGATGGAATTATATTTTGTTCTCCCACATCCTGAATAAAATTGAATGTGACTTCTAAGCTTTAAGTTGTTGTAACATAAACTGCTTTCTAAAATATTAACAACATAGCGCTGGAGAGAAGCATGAAATAAGTACATTGGGGTATTTACAGGGTCTTGGAAATTCTACACATTTATCTCATATCAGTCCATAATTTTTTTATATAATATAATTGCATCAAGCCTTCCTCAACATTCAGCATCAGTCATTCCTCATTAGAGAAATTTTTGATCACATCTGTGCATAGATTTTATCTTACTTCAATTGTTTTAATATGTGACTTTTCTCTTGAAATATAGAAAATGTTCTAAATCATATTGTTGCCACACTATTACACTGATAAATTTATTGTAATAAATATAAAATAAATATTAACTAAAATAAGTATTTTACAGGCACAAACTATACCAACATAAGGAAGTTCTATGTTCATCTGTGTCCAGAATACATTATATCCTTCTAAATTTACTAGTGGAAAGTATTAAAAGCACACACTGATAACATCTTGAGTTTAAAAACAATTTTTTTTTCATCATTATCTGTGAAAGATTCTACCAGTGGTACCAC